GGGGGGGGGGGGGGGGGGGGGGAGGAGGAGGAGGAGGAGGAGGAGGTCTGTGCCACCACACTCTGCTGGGTTGTTTGTGGCTATTTTGAGATAGGGTCTGCCTTTATTGCTCAGGCTGGTCTTCTGATTTGTCAGCCTCCTGCTTCAGCCTCCTGCATGTAGCTTGGATCACAGATAGCTACAGTGCCCCATTCGTTCCCATCTTGGGCCATTTTGGATTTACATAAAAATATGTTCAAATTCATAATAACCGAATTGTTTATGATTACACAGCAATACATTTTCACTGGAAAACAGTAAGTCCACGAAGAAAAAATGTGAAACTGACGAGACTGTTAAGGAAACCATTACTATTGCCTGACTCCTGATCCTACTAATCCTAGGCTGAGTAGTTTCTATAACCACAGAACTGCACGGGTAGCCCCACCTCCAGGCTCCACGTAGGAAGATTCAATCGACGTTTCTTTTAAAGTACACCTCCTTCTCAAATTCTCCGATGACCTGTCTTCTACATCCAAGCAGCTGGAGAACTGTAGGTTTGTTGGATTTATCCAGACGCTTTTCTTTTGCCCTTTCCCTTCCCTTTGCCTGGCCCTGGTTAAGAATTCAAATTTCTAGGCTCACAGACCCTGCCAGCTAGGTCCCTTCGCGCTCCCGCCACTGGACTTCTTCCTCCCCTTTAAGGCCCACCCCTCCCCCATGCCCACGCCTCCCCCAAGCCCCACCCTCGATCCTCCCCTTTAAGGACTAGCCCAGGACGCAGAGCAGCCTGTGACGCGGCCGCCGCCCCCGGGCTGGTACTTCTTGGCGCGGCGATTTCCCACCGGCCGGGCCCCGCCGTCCCGCGTTCCCCGGAGCGCAGGTCTCCGGGGGGAGGGAGCAGGGCTGGTGGGCGCCCGCGGCGCACAGCGGGACCCACGGGGCCCCGCGACCCGCCGAGCCTGGAGCCGGGCCGGGGCGGGGCAGCCGGCTCCAGCCCGGAGCAAACTTCGCCGCCGGGCGGGGCGTGGCGGGGACCCGGACCCGAGCCGGAGGAGGGGGCGGCCGCGGCCCCTGCCTCTGCGCGCGAGTCCCCGGGCACCATGCTGTCGGGCTCTCCGGGCCAGACCCCGCCGGCGCCGTTCCCCAGCCCGCCGCCGCCCGCCCCGGCCCAGCCGCCGCCGCCGTTCCCCCAGTTCCACGTCAAGTCGGGCCTGCAGATCCGAAAGAACGCCATCACCGACGATTACAAGGTCACCAGCCAGGTGCTGGGCCTGGGCATCAACGGGAAGGTGCTGAGGATCTTCGACAAGAGAACCCAGCAAAAATTCGCCCTGAAGGTAAGTCTGGGCCTCCGTGGAGCGCGCTGGGATCCCGGGCAGTTTCCGGTCACCCCGCGAGTGGCCGCGACCCGAGAGGACTTACGGGGACTGCCATGTTGGGGTGTGAGTGGTATCCAGCCGAATGGCCACGCTTGGGTCCGGGACGGCGTCTGCTCGCTTCTCCCGGCGCCGAGGACACAGTGGCCTCACCGTTCCTCCCTCCTTCCTCTCTGCGGGCACAAAAGGCCCTTTACTCATTGAGCTGGTTGGTCGGTCGGTTTGGAGAAGTTCGTTCTCTGAGGTTTACTCAACCCTGCTCCTTATTTGGGAGCCGGAATGTGACTTCGCTCTCCCCGGCCTCGCGAGGTCGGCGCGCAGCGGTGGGGCGCGGCGGCGCGGCATTGGAGACTGGGGACCCCGCCTCCGTGGCCGGCGATTGTCTGGAATCGCCGGCGCCTGGCCCGCGCTGTTTCCATTGCTCTATGCACCGTAGGAAAACTTGTCTGTAAGCCAGGCTTGGCCCAGTGGTGGCAAACTGGCCCCGGTTGCTGGCCACTCAAATCAGGAAACGCTATTCTTGCGTTTGGGAAACCCACTCCTAATCTTTTTAGGTCTCCCCGTCTCTCTGTGTCGTCTCTGTGTCTCTGTTTCTATGCTGCCTGAGGATGGGGCTTTCAAAGGACCCACTGAAATGTGAGTCTGTCATTCAGGGTCATTATAAAGTTTTCTTCTCCAGGGTTTCAGGTTACACCATATCTCTAAAGGTCACTTGTCAAGTGTCTTTCCCCTGGGTGTCTCAATGATTGGAGGAGCAAACAACTTCCTGTGTTATGTTTTTCTTTTCCCCTTCAGCCCACACAACTTGCTTTGTTTCAGCTATTAATTAGTACAGGTGAGTTATGGGTGAGACTGTTGTCAGACACAGTAACTGGACCAAAACCCTGGTACTTTGTAGGGAGCAAGTGAGTCCAGTTTCTATGATAATGTTTTTTTCTATTTTCATCCTCAACATCAGATTAAATATATATATATATATATATATATATATATATATATATATATATATA